ACAAGACATTAGTGTTTCAGCAAAAACAGATAGCAACTTCTGAATTTTGGACACAAATACAACCCTCAAACTTCAACTACAAGCTAACCTCTGAAAAAGAGAAAAGATCTCCTTGGATACAACAGCTGTCAGCTACGGTATTTTTCATACTGTTTCACAGTCGCCATCAGAACACCAGCTTGCTTTGCTCATATGCCACTGTTTAAGGTGTTAAAGATTACATACCCATTAGTTTCACGACTAGTCTTCCAAGAATGCTTCTGATTCCGCAAAACATGTTTTTCTAACAAGTACAAAAACCTGCAGCATGAAAGTGTGGTTTCCCACACATTCATAACCACTAGCTAGTAGTAAGAGAAAACTGTCATCCTCAGGTTATCGGCTGTATTATTTGGTGTCCTTCAAAAAAATTGCAGGAACATTTTTAGAAACAGCAAAAGGCATACAGCAACCTACCCATAATCAAATGTAGTGAATCAGCTCAGTGAAACTGAAAATGTATCCTGCCAAAATTAGTTTACTGCTCATGCAGCACATTATGAGAATTCTTGTATACAGTAAGAAAAAGTTTAATAAGAAGATGCCTAAGTTGACTTATACAGCCCTAAAGAAATAATTCTTCAGCTCTTTACAGTTGGATGTAAAAGCCCTTTACTAATATCACCCTCAGGCACACAGAGTTAAGCACATGAACTTTTACCATTTCCTAGGACTGCTTAGAATTTAAATCGGTATTACTGAAGCTACAGTACAAGCTTTCATTTTCAAAAAGCTGTGACATTTTCTTCCATTTATAAAAACGAGATGAGGACCTCAAACTTACTTCAAGTCAAGTGAGGTAGGTAAAACCATTGTGGCTCAGTTTGTGAACCTGATTAAACGCACAAAACCACATGCATTACTTTTGACACTGCAGCAGACAGTTTACAGATGTACGAGAGGGAAAAGGGGTATATTTTGCTTTCTATAAGAAAATACACTGTCATGGCAGAACAGAATCACAGAATGGTAGGGGTTGGAAGGGACCTCTGTGGGTCATCTAGTCCAACCCTCCTGCCGAAGCAGGGTCACCTA